TTCCGATTGGGTGTTCTTTGGCTCTACTCTATGTCTTGGAAATTAAAAAAAAAAAAACAAAAACAAGCTACTGTATCCAGTGGCTCGACTCCATATTGATAGACTTGCATGTTCAGACAGATAGAGCAGCCACATTATTTTGCGACAACAAGTCCGCGATTGCCATCGCCGAGAACCACATTTTCCACGAACGAACGAAGCACATAGAAATCGTTTGCCATGTGGTTCGTGAGAAAGTCACTCAAGGGCTCGTTAAGTTACTATCTGTTTCATCATCCAACCAGGCAACTGACGGGTTTACAAAATTCCTTCCAGTTTCTCCTTATCAATTGTTAGTCTCAAAGCTTCAAGACCTACACGCTCCAGCTTACCGGGGTTGTTAGAGGACTGATAAGGGACGAGGGTAACCATCTTCCTGCATGTAAGCTCTTTCTTTTGTCCAACAAACAATGAAGATATTTTTCACAACTCTCTGTAGCTTGTTCCTCATAGGTTCTTATTGGGTACCAACTTCTCCTCCAATACCTTCTACCATTGGAACATCAAGAACATTCCCATTAAGTTCTGGTATATAGGGTGTTTCTCTAATTTAGCCCTTTTTATTGGTTCAGTACCCTATACAACTTTATCCACAACCTTGGGAAACTTAGGTTCTTCTACACCTCTCTTAGTTCCTTCAGTTAGTCAATCACCAGGTTGATAGAGTCATTGGCAAATTTGCTCTCATCGAAAATGTTATTGGATGAGATTTGAACATTTTCTTCTGGTTGTTCTTCTCCTTTGCCTCCGAAATTTCAACAGTGGCTCCAACTTCTTATGATTTCTCCACTCCTTCGGAACAACTGTTGGAACAACTATTCCTTTCGGACCAACTTCTTCTGATCTCTCTATTCAATTCCTTCCAGAGTAACTTCAGCTTGTGACCCTTCAACCATTGACATGGAAGACTGTCCAGGCACCACAGTTAGGCTTGACTCATGTTGAGCTCTGGAGAGATGGTTGGTAGCTTCTAGATTTCACTGATCATAATTATCTCCGTCATCGTCATGGATAGAAGGCCCTTATTCTTTAGCTGTTTTCTTCTTGTTCAACATAGAAACTTTTTGGATCAAGAATTCTTCTAAGGGACTAAAGTTATAAATTTTAGAGTGCATTTCATCTCTAATTATGTTGTAGACTGCCTCTTCCATTGTACGCATACTGATAAAACATATTCTTTATTATATTTACGCATACCATTCTTTATATTTTGTGCATAATATAAAGTTCCCGAATCATGTGTGTATTGAGACTTATTTGTTTGCTTTATTGTCTTAGGCACATTTATTCACAAAAATTAAAGAGGAAAGTATTTTGGGGCATTTCCGGTCAATTTTGGAGTTAAAGAACCCGTTCAAGAAGGAATGGAGCAACAAACGAAGAACGAGGAGCACACTAGGAGAATTAGCATGGCCACCAGGTCAAGGCCGTTATTGAAAGATTTCACACAACCATGCTTTAGGTCATGCCAAATGGAGGCAATGTGCACTTCATTATAGGCCGAATTAGGCACGACCATGGCCTTGGTTGTGCCACTATGGGTAATCTGAACAGTATTTAAACATGTTCTATGTTGTATTTTGGGGAGGCAAACGCTAGATAGTTTCAATCGGGTTCCCTTTTGTTCCTTTCATCTTTTAAGTTTAGACTAGCTTAGATTACATTTAATCAACACATTTTTCAATCTTTTAATCTCGGATCGAAGTCGAATTCAACCTCAACATTGCATCTACATAGAGAAGCTTTTCCATACTCTTTCTTTTATTTCCTCTACAATAATTTTCTTAATATTCATTTGTGCTTTTTACTTGTTCTTCTTTTTGAAGTGTGAGTAGTTCGGTATGGAGTTTGGATTAGCGATTAATCCCTTTCCTAAGTGCTGGTTATGTAGATTTTGCATAAGGGGGAAAAGTGGGACCCAAGAATGCCTTTGAGTTTAAGAGTTTGGGATTGAGGCGTCATAAAGTGGGGCAATCTCTTGCTCTAATTCTAAGTCGAAAGATCTTTAATTCTAACGCGCATTTTGGATGACATCGTGAATTAGGTATTTCTCCCTATTTTTCTCAGGTTGTTCATGCTCTTAATTAGGATGTGGTTATCGTTAATCTGGTAGAATGTGGGGCATGAGATAAGGCTAGAGGTGTAGCCATGTCGCAAACCTTACACAGGGGTTATGTGCTTTGCGCGATGAGCCTACACTATGCTATTTGCCTTGCACACAAGCATGAGCATGCCAACATATAGTAGTGCCTATGTACTGCTTGGGGTAAACCACATGTGATCATACAAAGGTTTCATACATGGAGTCATGTGATGATGTGGTTCAAAATTTCATGGCACATCCCACGATCTAAAACATTTGATGAATTAGAGAACCAGTTCTTTAGAGATTATAAAAGACCGGTACAACTTATGTCTGGGTCATCATCATCTTCTATTTCTTTTAATTCAATGTCTTGTATATCCCTTTCAGTTTGGTACTTGTCCAAATATCAAAGACACACTTTCAAGACGCTGAATGGTAGTCACTATCTAACACCTTCCTCTAAAACCCCATGTTCTCATTATTACTACAAATTATATTTTCCAATTCTATGCTTTGCCTGGACAAAAAAATCATAAGTGATGTATCAAAAGTAATAGAATGCCTAATTGCTAACAAAAGATTCAACAAATTAAAGAAGAATAAAACACACATGAATCTAAAAGACTAACAACATGTTTGATTCGTTGAATATGTTTAGAATGGTATAGAATTTTTATGAGTACACTTATTCGATCATTTTTTAAGTTTATATATTCTTGAAAAATACTATTCACCAGAATATGCTATCCTTGAGAATAAATATCTTTTATTATATAGGGCATTTCAATAATTTGAATACTATAATTTCTATTTCTAAAACGAACCAAAACCTAAATACAATTCCTAAAATATATACATTTCAATAACCAAAAATGGAATTTAATTCATAGTCTATATCTCGCTTTTTGATTCCCTATTGAATATTATTCTTTTTCCTCAAAACTCAATTACGTAAACCAAATATACTTTAAGGGTTACTCTGTATAGAATTTTTTTTTTCAATTTCCATTTTCTACATTTCCATGTTGTACACTCCTTACCTTTTCTACATTAACAAACAAATAGACCAAATTCCCTGAAGGAAATTTTTTTAGGTTGGCCCACCCAATTTAATTCTGTCAAACCGTAACGCTTTCTTCGTCCGTTACCATATCTCCCAACTACCCTCTCCTCTCTCTCTCTCCCTCCCTCCCTCCTTCCCTCCCTCTTCCTCCCCGTCTACCCTCCGCTCTCTCTTTCGAAGCCGCACCGAAATCCTCTTTCTCTCAAGTTTGTCACCTCTCACTTTAATCTTCGCTCTCGCTGTCGATCTCTTTTGACTCTCATCTCTCGATTGGAACCCGATCTCTCCAATCGTCATCGAAACTCCTTAGATTGAGAAGGTAATCTCTAGTCTCATCCCCTTTACTAGCTATAAGACTTGAAATTTTTTTAGAAGCATAGATGTATGTTTCCTTTAATTTGAACCACAAAAAATTGTTTTCTTTGTAATGAAATTGAAATTGTGAAAACATTGACAAATTCATTTCGAAACATTTTTTATTGAATACATTTTCTATTTTTTTCTAAATTTTTTACTTAAAACACCGCATTAACAAACTTGTCTGCCATTAAAAGTGAGAAAGAGATTACGAAAAAAAAAAAAAAAACCTAACAAACTTCAAATAGGTTTTGTGCAATTTTGATATAATTTTTCTCTCTCTATCTCGATCTCTCTCTTCATCTCTCTCTATCTGTATGTATGTATGTATATATATATATATATATATATATATATACACACACACACGCACACACACACGCGCACACAGCTAAAAAAATATCATGTTTTCATTTTCATTATAAAGCTATTAAATGAGTTCAAATCTATTTATTTATTAATTTGTAAAATAGGAAACTAATTTGCACTATTTTTTTCCTCATAAAGAAATAAAAATGTAGTGACAATTGATAAAAGTATCAAGTAATATTGTAAGTATGTAAGTTGTTATATATGGAGTTGTGGTTAGGTAGATGGGATTGAGTTAGAAATAATAGTAAAACAAGTAAAAGAAATATGAATGCAATAGATGCATATGCAGTAATGGGTAAGTAGACAGTTGTGGAGCATTGATAGTTGGGGATGGATTAAATAGGTAGGTGATAGCTAGTAGGAATAAATAAATAGGTTATAGTGCGTAAAAAGAATGTGATTATATTATAGGAATATAGGAAATAGTGATGGTAGGGGTAGGTAGGTGGTGTTTGATGGTAGGTAGGTGGGTGAAGGTAACGCTATAAAAATAAGTGAAACTAATTCCTTGTTGTTAAACTAATTCCTTTTTGGAATATTTTTGTAATTTGTATGGCTTTTATTCATTTTGTATGTACTCACATTTAAATTTCTTGTGGATATAGTGAGAAATAGATCAGAGTTGGGTTAAAATATATAATTATATATATATTTTTTATTTTCAGATAACAAAAGGAATTTTTATCTAAGACACACAATCAGGATGTCACTCCCTACTCCAAAGCGCCATATGCAACAAGAAAATTTGAATCAAGATATAATCACAGAAATCCTTAAAAGGCTGCCTGTGAAATCTCTACTGCAATTTAGGTGTGTTTCAAAAGTTTGGCGTGCTTTAATATCATCTCCAGAATTTGTCAAATTGCACTTAAATTTTCATTCGAAAAAGGATATTAAGGTCATGACATATAGTAGTGTAAATCGGATTAGCTATATGTCCTTGTTTTCTATTACAGAAAACAAGCAATCATCATTTCGAAAGTTTATTACAATTGACCGCTCAGTCTTAATCCTAAAGATGGTTTTGAATTTTTGGGTTCTTGCAATGGGCTCTTTTGCTTTCGTGCTAAACCGTATCAAATAATGATTTGGAACCCTTCATTAAATGGAAACGTCAAGACAATCCCAGACGTATGGCAGTTCAGCTACATAAGCATATTTGGATTTGGATACGACATGCATAATGACGACTACAAGGTTGTTTATGCTTATTATGGTGACAATAATGGTGATGATGAATATGTGGTTTTGGTGTATAGTTTTAAGCTTGGGACATGGAAAAGATGTGATAGAGGGTTTAGTAGTGGGTTTGTTTATCCCAGAATTGCTGTGTTTGTGAGTGGTAGTCTCAACTGGTGCAACAACAACTTAGATGACAGTGACTGGAATTGGAATATAATTTCTTTTAATTTAACCACCGAAACAGCCAAAGCTATAGCGTTACCCAGCCATGAACATGGGGCTGCCATTTGTGTAGGTGAGTCAAGAGGATTGCTTTTTGCAGGTTTTCATCTCAAACGTCAAATGGAAGTTTGGGTGATGAATGAGTTTGGAGTTGAAGAATCATGGACTAAACTAGTCTGCATTTCAAACTTACCAGTTCATCATCCACTTCCCCGGGGTTCAGAGAACACGGCATACATGGCTCTGTGTAATGCTAAACTCGCAATTGTACATGTTTCGGAAAATGGTGATATTCTAATGATGGTTGGGCATCAGTTGAAGCTCCATAGACCAAACGCTAGAAGGGGTAAGAATTTTAATATCCCTATGATCTTGGTTATATGGTTACTAGTTATGTGGACACCCTTGTTTCACCATGACGGGTCTGTAAATTAATTGTTCATGTCATGTTGGAGGAAGAAAATTTTGCTTTTTGATGGGTTGATTTAGAGTTCATCAATGGCTTTATAATCGTGTTGAATTAAGTATAAAATAGTATTAATTTTTTATTGTATCATTTGTGTATGAGCTTTGTGAAGTATTTTCCTAGCCATGTTTGGTGAACTATAGATTTGTGTGAATGCAACACAGGTAAGATAGAAATGTTTCTAAGTTAAATTTCATTGCATTTTAGTGTAAAGGGTTGTGACTTTGGGCTATAATATTAACTACCCATCCATTACGGACTTGGGTGTGAGGCGATACAGAGAGAGTGTGAAGGGGGGAGAGGGGGGGGGGGGTGGAATATATGTTGAGTATAGAGGGGTAGGTTGACCCATGGGGTTTACCAACTTACCGCTAAGGGGCGGGGGGCGGTCTCAAGGCCAGTGGTCCCTACCGGCCGAAAAAAAGGGTCTCTGAACTCCTCGAGCTACAATAGTGTGGCTAGTGGGCGTCGAGCGCTCTCCATCGTGTCAACGGCGCCCCGTGTTATCATGACTTCTAATATTGACACTGGGTTCGGTTACATAAAGTACATTTTTATTATACTAAAGATTCATTTTTTAAAGATACATTATTTGGTATATACTATCAAATAATAAACGTTTAGTACACAAATAATGTACATTCAACATATTAGAAATACACATTTATTCATGGTCAATTAATTTGCCTTTATTCCTAGCTCCTTATTTGGGCTCCTTTATTTATTATTTATCTATTCCTTGAATTATAATCTCGAGTCGTATATAATCTTTTGAACTTAAGGCTCCAATTAGTAACAATAATATTATTATAATTTTCCTATCCCTTTTTGTAAAGTGGTTTCATGATGTAAAGTGGTTTCATAAATCCATCACAAATTCACAATGTAATTCCATTATAATCACATTAATTGCATTTAGGCAGATTTCCATTCTAATTTCCGTAAATGCATATCGGGAGCTTCGTATATATTATCCTCCTTTATTTAATTTCCTTATGGATTTTATGAATTAACTTCCTTATATGATTTAATTCATCTTGATAGAACAAAATGAATGACCCATGATATGGATGAATCAATAAATTTGCATAAATTAATGGGTAAAATAGTAAAAGATCAAGAGATAATTGTAATAATAATATTGAGTGGATTAATAAAATAACGTTACAAGAGTTTTGTAAGAATAGAACATGATTTATCTAAGTTATGACATGAGCTATTTATACAAGAAAAGTATAGCAAACTTAGCTAAACTCAGGGTAGGGGTGACCACGGCGATTCGAGCCGTAATCATCACTGTAATAACCGGAACCGTTCGTATGGTTCCGATTCCTAACTGGAACCAATAAGGTTCCGATTAAGTTTTGTGAAATAAAGGAACCGGAACCAGACGGTTCCGGTTCCAAACCGAAAAAAAAAAAGAAATAATTTAAAATGATGGCAGCAGGGCATAGGCTTGCAGCATACTACCTCACTGCCACATTGGGCAGTGGGCAGTGGGCAGTGGCGCAAAGGCCAAAGAGGCAATGGTCTCACTTTTTCACTTTCTTTTTTTTTTTTTTTTTTTTTTTTAAATTCGGTTAGAACGACGGTTCCAATCAGAACCGTTGGTTCATAAACCGGAACCGTACTATAAGGTTCCATTTCCGTTTGGTCATTTGCGGAACCGGAACAGGAACGATCACCCCTAACTCAGGGCCGTTACAAATGATCGAAGAATGTCCATAGACGACAAGCTTAAGCAATTAATGTCTGGACCATTCTTTCGCCTTCTTTGGGCTCGGGTCACTTTCTTCGTCTAGGTTGCCTTCTTGGATCCTGGGGTTCTCATTCTTGGATCATTTGTAATATCTCTATAACATCTCTCTCTCTCTCTTTATATATATATATATATATATATATATATATATATATATATATATATATATATATATATATATATATATATATATGTATGTATAACATCATTTCATATATTTTTCCTTAAGTGTATTTAGGCAGTTTTTATACGCGTACAATTTGTGTTAAGCTGAGTTAATCGCGTTCAAAGTCATTGATGAACTCTGTGTTCAAATAGTAAACAATTAGGGTGCGTTTCGAAACCAGAAAATGACTTCTCGAAAATATTTTTTGATTTTCAATGTTTGGCAAGAGAGGGGGAAAATGAGGTCAATGACATGGTGGGAGATGCTCAATCATTGATGAGCCTCAATCCTCTTGATGATGACTATGTGTGACTATGAATGAAATTGGTGGTGATGTGACTTGAGCTTTGCTCATGAGTTCGGCGGTATGTGACTATTATATTTATTATTTAATGGTACCTCGTATACTGAGAGTTCGGCGGTATTGTTTGGCGACAGTTTGGCACAAAACATTGATCCATCGGTTCAAAAACCAATAATTGTTATTACTATAATAATTCTAATAATTAGTACGTAACAGTAATAACGGAATTATCAATTTTCTTAATTGTAACCGAACAACATTTAATTATAATAATGATAATCATCATTATTATTAAATATTACATAATATCATCATTATTACCATAAAAGTTTTGGACAAGCAAATTCAAATGAATTTCAAAATATGATTGTTAAAATCATAATCTAAATTATTATGACAATAATAAAATAATATTCAATTGTCATAACCATATGCTTTTCGGAACTGTGATTCAAAATCACACTCCATATTAAAAATATTATCAAATCATGACAAATAGCAAAATTCCATAATTGCAATGAAGAGCCAGAATAATCACATAATATTATATTATAACCATTAAGTGATTTAAAATGGAAAAGCAATTGCTGAAACCGCAAGCCTTTAAAACATTTTTGGGGAAATTTTAATACTTAAAACTTAAGCCGTGTAACAAGTCCGCATAAAGGCATATTAAAAAAAAAAGGTTTAGACGAAACTTTTTATCACCATAATTAAAGAAATTAGCACAATCATGGTAATTTTCTAAAACATACTGCAAATACCAGGAAGCAATACAATCCTAACCAATTTGAAAAACTACACCCTTTAATTAAGGACAAGAAACACAAGGACGGGATTTCCGGAATAATGGCTCCAAAATAAACAATATAATGGTAATCAATTGAAGTACCAATTCTATGAGGAAGTGAGAAAAGCGTAATATTGAAGATCATTAATGGAGTAGTACACTGCTGAAAATTATGAAATTTTCGACCACATGAAAGTTATCTTAAATCAAGTCGAAAGCAAAAAGTGGTCGGAAATAGCAACAATGATTTTTCCGAAAACAAAAAGTGGTCGGAACAAGGCTTTCACTTGATTTAAGATCACTTTCAGGTGGTCGGAAATTCCATAATTTCCAGCAGTGGTAATAGCGCAACGTCTGTATCGCCTTCGTCCAGAGCTTCTCAACCCGTCTGCTGCTGGGAAAACGACGGCAAAAGACTAGTAGCTAACCAGACTTCATGCAGACGCCGGTGACAGCCACTCCAACGAAGACATATTGGCAACCCTCAATGAAGACGCTTATGGAAAACGAAATCGCAAACCCATCATCTCAGACAATGGCTCGGCGGCGCTGCATTACCGTAAGCGAACGACAAAATCACCACTCCAACGGTGCTACGGCCCAGGATGCCAATCGGGACGACCAACGACACCACCACCGACATTCGTCAAACGGAAATGGCTAGGGAAAGTTCGCAGCACCGAAGAGAACAAAAACAGTCCCACCACCTGCCATTAACACCTCTAGCACCCATCATAATGGGTGGCAGTGCTAACATGCTCTGCTGGCAGGAATATACGGTAACACCTCGACCAGGCAAAACCAATTAAAAATTCCCACAAGAGCCAAATCTTAATTGAAACAAAACCAATGGCCCTTCGACGTCGTCAGGTGGAGGACTCGGCTGACACAAAAATTCCAAGAAGTACTGAGGGCGGAAAGGTGGAGGACTCGGCTGAGGCTCCGACACCTTGTCTAGATACACGGCGGCTTCCCGTCATTAATCATCTGCAAGGGCCTCTCCAAGGCACTCGGAGACATGGCTACGCCAAAAAGAGGAGGAACCTCCATACCTCCTCCTCCTCCGGGCCCGGATCGTTCACACTGGTTCCACCTTGCCATCAGCCGATTCCACGGGGGCCAAGTCCAGCATATCTGGGACACACGATAGGATTAGAGCTTGAGTCGCCACCAGACGTCCACCGTTGGCCAGCCTTTTCTGCCTTAGCTCTTCCAGGCGCGCATGCTCCTTGTTGCGAATGGAGAAGCGACGATCGCCGACTCTGTAGCTCATGATCAAAGGTCTATGAACAGAAGTGGTATGAATCACTAGCATGAGATGCCTTTATATAGCCTCAGAAGGGCGAATATCTAGGCGGAAATCACGGAGATGATAGTAAAACTGCCATAATCAGGCCAGAACAGACGAGGCCAGAATCTTTGTCAGGAGGGAGTTCCGTCAAATCCTCTCGAAAGAGTGAAATTTGCACGCTGAACTGAAAAGGGCAGATTCACCCAGGATACGGGGAATATTTGCAGGCGTCAGACTGAAAAGGGCCTGACAATGTGGCCGACTCTAGGGCGAGTCGGCCGAAGAACCAGGATGGATATCCAAAGAATTAAAAATGAAGCCCTCCAAGAGGGAAACCTAATTTTATTATAAGAGACGAGAAATACACAAGATAAGGAGCTTATTACATCACGAATAAATAAAAAATGCTCCTATGCAGCCCCACTCGGCAATATGGAAACCAATCTCGACCAAAGCCATCACTCGCCGGGTGAAGAGGAGTCGCCCCAAAGAACGCCTCCCCGGGCAGCCTAGTGGGAGATGGACAGAAAGTATCCCAGAAGGTTGGCATGATTGGCAACACCACCGGCTCCTCGTCATCAGGATACATCTCCAGTATCGAGCGAAGTCGCGTCATTCATCAGGCCGTAGCCGGCCTGTCCAGGTCATCAAGCGGAATG